GATAGAAGCCATGAAGGCCCAGCATAAGAAAGAAATGGAAAAAAATAAATGCCCAACATAGGAAAGAAATGGAATCCATGAAACAGATTCAAACATATCCAGGAGATTAAACACTCCACAGAAAGTGTACGCAACAGAATAAAACAATGAGAAGATAGACTCTCAGATATAGAAGATAAGATTGCAGCTAGTGACCATGAAAAGAGAAGTCTCTTAAAAACAGTAGGGGATCATGAGAAATCGATCCAACAACTCCTAGATGATGCAAAGAAGAATAACATAAGACTGATAGGAATCCATGAAGTAGCAGGAGAAAATACAAATGACTTTAAAAAGCTGTTTGCAGAATTAATGACAGAAAACTTCCCAAACAGAGGGCAAGAATTTGACATTCAGATAACTGAGGCATATAGGACCCCAACTAGCCACAATCAAAAAAAAGTCTACACCTAGACATATAATAATTAAGATCCTAGAAACCCAACAGAAGAACAAAATACTACAAGCAGCAAGAGAAAAGAAACAAATCACATGCAAAGGAAAGCCCATCAGAATCACAGCAGACTTTTCAACACAAACCCTTGGGGCAAGGAGAGCCTGGAATGAGATATTTCAAGTACTAAAAGAGAACAATCTCCAACCTAGACTGATGTATCCTGCAAAAGTCTCTTTCAAAATGGATGGGGAAATAAAACACTTCCACAACAGAGAACACCTGAGAAACTACATGAATACCAAACCAGCACTACAAGCAATTCTAAACAAGATCCTAGAAAAAGACAATGAAGGCAACAACACCATGAGGCCCAACAGAGCAAATCAAACAGGCAAGGCAAGAAATTAAAAGGAGAAGGTGAAAAAGTAAAAAGAGTCAACAAAAGGCCAATAACATGTCAATAATAAGTCAGTACATATCAGTTATAACCACCAAGGTCAATGGGCTCAACTCGCCAATCAAGAGAAACAGACTGGCAAAATGGAATAAGAAGCAAAATCCAACAATATGTTGTAAACAAGAAACACACCTAGTGCAAAAAGAAGCCCATAGACTGAAAGTGAAAGGATGGAAAACAATTCTCCATGTGACAGGAGCCCAGAAAAAAGCAGGTGTTGCAATCTTAATTGCAGACAAAGCAAATTTCAAACCAAAACTGATTCTAGTATTATTGATGTAGGACGGTACTATATCATACCTCTGTGAATGTAAAATATCTTGTACCTGCTTTATGATACATAGTAGTGGCCGTGCTTTATCAGAGCTATATTTAATGATATTACTCTAGAATGTTCTCTTTCCAGATGATGATTAAGATGCTAATAAAAAAAATGGTGCCAGGTACCACAAAAAAAAAAAAAGAGAGAGAGAGACTGGCATATTTAATCAAAAAAGGAAAATAAATGGTTTGGTGGCCTGCCTTGCAAGCACAAGGACTGGAGTTTGATCCCCAGTACCACGAAAAGAAAAGTAAGTATCTCTATAATAAAATACTTTATAAGCAAAGTCAAAAGGCAAATAACAAGCCAAGAAAAAATATTTGCAATTTACATAAGCATGGGCTAATCTCCCTAACAGACAAAAGGTCCACATATTTAAGAAAAACAGCAAAAAGCTGACAGAAAAATGGACAAAAAGATAAACAGCCCACCAGGGGGAGAAAAATGGCCCTTACATGTTAGGAAAAAAAATATCCTCACTCATAAGAAAAAGCAAACTAAGTATCCTGGCACACCAATTTACACCTAGAGGATGACAACATCTAGGAACCTAATGACTGGCGTGGGGCGGGGGGAGGAAAACCAGCATCTCAGGTGGCCCAGTGGCCCAGTGGCCCAGTGGGAGAGAGTATGGTGGTTCAGGCTCACAAAAAAGGAACTTGATTTCAGGCTCATAAAAAGGAACTTGATTACCATCCAGGACTTGAAACTGACCACCTACTCCAAAATTTGAAACAGCACATACACCAGATGGTTCCCTGTGACATTATACTTTGAAAACAACACAAACACCCATGAAAAGAAGAAAGACTACGCTCCACACACAGGATTGAGAACCACCAAAGCAGAGGCAGACTTAGGAACTCATGGTTTCAGTGAGTTGAAACAGAGTAAGTATCAGGATCTATGTTTAGATTTTTAAAGAAAGCACAGAATAGCATATATACCGGGTTACCTTTTGTACGAGAAAGAAAATAGATGAGTGGGTAAGTGGGTGTGTGGGGGTGGGGGTGTGTGTGTGCACATGTCTGCGTGTGCAAGCACAGCTTATTTTGGAAAAGAGAAACATGAGAAAGCAGACACTCATGAAAATGCTTACCACAATGGGGACAGAGTGGAGCTAAAACAGATGCAGACTGAGTATTCGTTGTTAAACAATTTTGACTTTTAAATATGTAAATGCGCGGGCAGTCAAAAATAAATTTTAATTAAAAAGAAAAAGGCAGGCGCATTCCTTAGGAAGTTACTGTGTTGGATCTAAGTCCCAAGACTGTCTCCCTTGAAACCAAACTGAGTCCAACTTCTCATGTTAACAAGTGATAGGCGGGTAACAGCCACGTTAGCCAACAGTCCCTGCTTCAGCTGTAGCAAAGCCTAGGGGTCCTATGGTCCCTCTCACCACCTGGGTCACCTGTTCCCAGCAAGGGGCTGAGGGGCTGTGTGAAGAGCTGATCCTCCCAATCCACTCCAATCCATCAAGCTGCCCAACCCTAAAACAACACTCCTTTTTGCGGGGGTATCAGTGTGCAACTAGGGACCTTGCACTTTCGAGGCAGGCGGGTGGTGGCACAAGCAAGCTGAATCTTCAGCTTCTAAAACAACACTCTTACTCCAAAGGGGATTGGATATGTGCAGAGTCCAACACTCTCCCCTGCCTCCACCTACACACACCAGGCCAGGGCCCTAGAAGCCCCCAGCAATTGTCCCTCAACCAAAGAACCCACCCAGGATGATTCTAACCCATCAGCGATTCTAACACCAGGTTTCCTATTTTGGTATTCCACAGTACTCAAGACTGATACACGGGTTTCATTTGTGTGATTCTATCATTATTTCAACAGTTAAGAATGCCAGGTCTGTACCTCAATCACACTCCTCGAAAAGACACTGACAGGCTGGCTTACGACTGGCCAGGCTTGCACATCCCTCAAGCAGTCTGTAATCACATGGCGGGGATTATTTCTCACTCTGCCTCAAAGGCTCTCCCAGCCAGGAGGTTTCATGAGAGCAGAGTGTGAGAGCATTTGCTGATATGGGTCAGTAAATGCCCTCCACACTGTCAATGCTGCAGATCACACTAACACACACCAAGCAAGCTCTTCGAGCCACCTACCAGGCCTGCTTCGTCTGCACATCCTGGGGAGACACGTATTTGGGTCTGCGGCAAACCTTTCTGACAGTGCCATAGACGAGGTTTTTCTGAACGAAGGCTGAAAAAAATACAGCCAATGAACAAACAAGACGTATCTAGACACACACATGCACACAGCACTGTTTTATAAACCAAAATTAAATGGGCTGGAAAGTTAACCCAAATGTATGAAAGCCATAATCAGTTTTAAAAATAAGGCAGTTTTACACATTTCAAACATTCATAAAGAAAAACAGGTATCCTTAGGAAGCTTGGTTTAATGAATAGAGGAATGATTACCAATTGACATATCAATTATACATGAGTGCTTTTAAATTGTTCCTTCTAATCTTGTTTAAGCCATTATTTTGCTTAACAATTTTTCCCAGCTTGGATATAAAAACAGCTCAGCCCAGCCTGAGACCAAATTATCACGTCTGGAGTTAGGGTTGATACAATAATTTTACAAATTTTTTTAAAAACTGACTATAGCAGTATTTATCAACTTTTTAAAAACCTGTATCACACCTTAAATATGAGAAAAGGAAAAAATAGAAATAAAGTTTTTGTAAATAGGGAAGGAAGTGAAGGGAGGGCAGGGTTATGGGGAAAAAATGAGAACCAAGACCTTTCATGTAAAGGTGTAAGAACCCAATGATGAATGTAACTGTACTGTATACCTAAAGTGTACCAATAAACTCAACAAGGAAAAAAAATCTGTTATCACCTTTAATGAACACAATTCAGGCTGCCTCACCCTCAAGAATCTTGTGCTCATACTGAGGGGGAGGGGCCTGCCCTTTGAGTTGACAAATGAAAAGTACCTAAAAATTAAGTCATATGTCCTGACCCACCATGGAAACCCTGACAGTCCTAATTTCCTCTCAGGAGAAATACATTATTCTCATTTTAAGAACACTTTAATGGTAAAAATTATAAAGTGTAATTTACCTCACTACCCTGGAGCACAATGTGTATGATGACCTGAGTAATGTCCTTTATGCTGCAGCCACCTACATCCCTACATGAGGCTCCCCACCTGCTCCCCACCAGCAGCCTTCCACTTGAGGCTGCTCATCAGCACACTTAGGTGGGTTTTACTGACTTAATTATCATCTGGGATGAATCTTTTTTTTTTTTTTTAGGCAGGGTCTCACTAGCTCAGGCTGGCCTTGAACTAGAAGCAACCCTCCTGCCTCAGCCTCCCAAGTGCTGGGCTTATAGGCTTGCACCAAGCCCCCAGGCTTCAGCCCCTGTCCCTTCCTATCTTCCATGCATGTCTCCTCAGCCCTGTAGGGACAGCATCATCTGGTGACAGGCCTGTCCCCGCTTCTGAGTGGACACACTCTTTCTTTCCTGCATCATCAAAGGCCCCCAAGTTAATATGGAAGAGCTGTGAGCCCAGAGCAGACTCTGCAAGGTGGGCTGGAGGTACCTTTGAAGTCTAATGTGTAGTTGTGCTTTCCAGCCTGGAACTTCAGGATGGCTGCCTGGGTGTCAGCACCTGGGGTGATGAAAGACAGGTAGGCCTTTTCCACATCGCTGCTGCTGATGGTGGTCACAGGGTGCACTGTGCCCTGCAAGGGGAAAGCCAGAACTTCATGAAGATGAGGAGACATGGGCGGTATGCACGCCATGCTCCCGACATAGCCAAACAGACAGTTCCGTCCCAGAGAAGGAACCAGGGAGCACCAGGAGAGGGAGACGCAAAAGCAAAATAACACAACTCTCCTGAAAGCTGTCCTGTAAATGGAAGACAAGCATGGGTCCTACCGAGCAGAGCAACAGGATGGGAACAATGGCAAAGGAGGAGCTGAAGCTCCTCAGAATGCATGAACTGCCACTCTGAGGAGGGCCAGATATCAACAGTAAGTTCTCTGAAGCTGTTTCTTCATCAGCTGAGGAAGTCACCTCTGTGCCACTGCACTCATTCCCACGGTCCTTTCAGCAGACCAGTCCTCCTCTATGTAGTTTTCTTTTCTAGACCCAGGGAAAACCCTTGTTTTCAGTTATCCCTTCCCTCACTCTCCCTATAGCTGCCCACAGAATGGCTAATATCAGGGGGGTGGACTGACTGAATTCTGGCTGGCCACCGTGGTCTGGATGTGGGATGTTCACTAAGGATCCATGCTCTGACTAGGTCAGTCACCATGGACACAGCAGTGGTGGCACAGGATGGCCCAAAAGAAGTATCTTCAAGTAAATCTGACCCAGTTTTTAAGGGAAGACAGGATTCAACTTTGGAAACCTCCATATACAGATGAAAATAAAGTTGGTTCAGCATTAAAGGAATATACTAACAGACTAGGATGTTGTGAGAATGAAATAGAAAATGTAACAGAAGAAATATGTTGCAAAGCTACTGAGTGTGGAACAGGAAAAGGATTCATACTCTGGAGGCTCAGTCCCCAGGGTGGCTGTGTTAAGAGGGTTGGGCCCTTAAAGAGGTGGGGCCTAGGAGATGTGAGGGCACGGGGGCGCTGCCTTCAGAAAGGGTCAGAGCTGGTCTTGCAGAGTTGCATATCTCAAGGGTGGGTGTTAGAAAGCAAGCCCACCCACACACCCGGCCCCTTCACCACACTTGATTCACCAAAGAGAGCCCTCACCAGAGGCCAAACAGATGGGGCTACCTGATTATGGCCTCTTGTGAGTTAAATAAACCTTTTTTCTCTATACAGGGCAGCCCTACCTCCATCTTTTATTTTTCTTCTTCTTCTTTCTTTCTTTTTCCTCTTTTTGGTACCAAGGATAGAACTTGGGACCTTGCGCTTGCAATGCAGGCCACGGAACCACTGAGCTAAATCCCGGCCCCTCCATTATTTTGTTACATCAGCAGAAAAAAGAATGGCATGCAGAACACTCAACACAGTGCCTGGAAAAACACTCAATAATTGTTAGCTATCATCATTACCATATTTAACACACACCAGCAACTAAAAATGCAAGGTAATGGACTGGTAGTGGACTCTGTTGCTGTAAATTTTCTTATCTCCCTTTGCTACCATCCTACTCCTGTGAGATCACAAGTCCCTGGTTTTACAGACACAATCATAATAATACAGTAGGGTGGCATGAGTATACAATTTCTGAAGTGCTCTCCTATTTTATGGTCTTTTAACAATGTCTAAATTTCCCTTTCTCACTCTTCAAAACTAAACCATTAGAGGGGCTGGAGATTTAGCTCAGTGACACAGCACCTTTCTGGCAAGCATGAGGTCCTGAGTTCAATTCCCAGTACCAAAAAAAAATTTTTCTTAACTAAACCATTAGATATGAGTGAGAGAGGAAGGGAAGGTGGCACATAAATTCCTTCTAGACAGCAAGGAAGAAGGAAGGGAAAACCTCCTTTTTGGCCTGAGAAAATGAGCGAGACATTAAAAGGAATAGAAAGAGACAAGCAGTCAGACTTACAGCATGTTTCAGTCCTCAAGGTCAAACTCCCAAGACAGCTTACCACAGGGAGGGGAAGAAGCAGGTGACAGAACAGAAAGCAAAAAGGTTTTTGTTCCCAGCAAGTAGCAAGGAAGGAAAATCTGAGAGTTAAACTGAGGAAGTATCTGGAGACACCACTAAGATGCAGAAGGAATAACAACTCTCCACGTGTCTTGAGGGGGGCCCAGCAGGTGTCTGATTCTGGCATAAAATTCTAGGGTACATCCTGAGCTGGGACAAGAACCTACCTTTTCTAAAAATCAAGAGAAAACTGTCTTTAACTAAATTAGAAAAAAACTAAGGAAGAAATCCAAAACACGGGGTTGTTCAGAAACATGGGGAAAGGAGGACAAGAACAAACAAAAGGTCCCCAGGGCTGTCAAGCTAATGGTACAAAGGAAAATATGCAGCCTGAAGCTACCAAGGCCACACCGGAGTCTTCACACCCCCACACCCCGGAAAAAAAGCACAGCAATATATTAGTGACACTCATAGTAGCTCGTTCCCAGGGATTCTGGAACTGTCTTCAGCTGGTCTACACACAAAGAGGAAGAATAAGAAAAGTAAAAACCTTGAGTATGGAAGAGTCCCCTCTCCCCAACTTACAACAGTTCAGTGTGACAAGCTACTCAGGGAACATATGTTTACATAGGTTGCTCCCAGGGCCTGTGTCATCCCATTTATCAACCAGGGGTTGTCCCTGTCTCCTCCAAGAAGCTAGACAGATCACCAAACAAAAGTGATAATGGCCTTTGCTGTGTGCTCCTGGCCAGCCACTGCTCCTAACATCTTGTCATCAGACAAGCTGGATTCATGGAGCAGGATGAGCCAACAGTCCTCTCCTCCTCCTTCACAGCCCAGCCTCTGCCCTCATGCTGCTGACCAAACCTGGGGAAACTACGTCTCTCTGGACCAGACCCAAAAGCAGTGAGACCCTGGGAGTGAGTGGCACTGCCTGGCCTGCAGACTCAAGGAGCATTTACCTTCTTAATAGGCCAAGCATAGAAAAGTGATCTTGGAACTCAGTCTGTGGATAATCTATCAGAAAACAATTTAGGGTATGTTGTGTGCTCACAATGATATCTTACTAACATTGTTTTGTTTTTTGTGGGGTTTTTTTTGGTCCTGGGGATCAAACTTGGGACCGTGCACGTACAAGGTGGCACCACTGAGCTAAATCCCTGGCCCCTACATTACTTGTTTTTACCAACACAAAAAATGCTATTGGTATATGGATTATTAAAAAAGAAGAGGCCAGTGTCTATGTCCAGAGGACCCAATATGTATCACTCTAGGCACGGAAACACGGCAGTGGCAAACAGGGATAACTTCCTGTCCTCCCGGAGCTCACATCAAAGTGTGGCAGAGAAAAGCACATTACAGTGCAATTAAGAACAAGAAACCAGAGCTTTAATACAGTTTCCCATAATGCAGAGAATACAAGAAGGATCAGGCCCTGTGGCTCAATATTCACTGCTGAGAGAGGCCCCAAATCTTGCACTTCTACAAGGGACTAGGGACTCCCTTTAATCTCATCCATCCGGAATACCTCAGCACTGACAGCAGCGATATGACCAGGACTCCAAACCAACTTCTGATGGAATTCAATTTTCTATTCTTACCCACTTTTGAGAGTTGCAGAAATACACAAGAAAGGAAGGTTGAAAACTTAAACTTTATACCAAACCTATCCAAACATGTCCAGGCACTAGCACTGGAGTTCTCTGTTAACAAGGAAGAAATGAATCTTCCTATCCCATTCAATAAAACAAAGCTGACTTCACTCCAATTTTTTGTCATTAGGTTCTCATGAGACAAGAGAGGCCCAAATGTTCAAAGACACAAACTCATGCAAATAAACTCCAAATCACATCATATGCCAAGATGCCCCCAAGCTAGCGTGGATGTGGGATCTGGGGGTCCCTGCTCCATCAGGGACACTTCTCATGATCCTTGTGCTAGTGTCTGGAAAGGCTGCTTCCTTGTGAACCACACATTCACCCTGTTCCCCTCACACTTACTTGTTTCCCAAATTCCTGCCAAGAACCAAACTCGTCGTTCCAGTACCAAACCCAGACAGTTGTGAGGATGAAGTGGGGTGGTCTGGTGACCGAGGAGGCTGTGGAGAGGCGGCGAGCCTGGGCAGTGCCAAACTTCATGGAGTTAAAGTTCAGAACATCAGCTAGACCACAACCAGGTCCAGCACACACAATCCTGTACAAGAAAACACAAGGCAGACTGAAAACTGCAGCAGCCAGACCCTCAGAAGCACCCCTGAGCTTCTACCCAAGGGAATACATGGATGGTAGATGCAAATATTAAACGTGTCACATTCCTTCTTTAGAAATGCTTCCAGAAGTAGAGAAAATTGCTTTTTAAGATCAGCTCAATTGTGCAAAAAAAATAATAAAATCAGATTAAGAAAGACAAGTTTTCACAAAAACTGTTCACATTACAAAACAAAAAATGCTGGTTAAAATATTCCTTTTTCAAAATGCATTGTGGAAGTGCAGCTCCATGGCAGAATGCTTGCCTAGCATCTGTGAGACCTGACTTCAATCCCCAGTACCACGAAGGAAAAAAATAAAGTTAAGTGTCCTGCCAAGCTGACAAGAGAAATCCTTACAAGCCAAAACAACTATAGTTAACACATCCTGAGTACCTACTATGTGAGCCACCCCCTCAGTAAGTTTGAATCTTCATAACCCTCAGAAATGAGTCTAAGGTCTTCACATTACAGATGGGAAACCAGAGGCCTTGGCAGATTAAGGTCCAAAGACCAAAGGGAGCCAGAAAGCCAAGGGGGTGAGTACGTGCCAAGGTCAGTGGCCACCCTTGGGCAGTATTAACAAGTAGCCACAAAAAGCCCTGTTTTAGGAGCCAAGAAACAGGAAACAAAGGCAACATCTGAGGAAGGTAGGAGGCTAAATCTCAAGAAGGAAACTTCTGGCCAGGCACAGTAGTGCATGCCTATAATCTCAGCACTCAAGATGCTGAGGCAGGAGGATCACCATGACTTTAAGGCCAACCTGGACTACATAATGAGACCTTGTGTCAAAAAACAGAGACAGAGACAGAAGAAACAGAGACAGAGAGAGAGAGAGAGACTTCTGCAAAAACTCCCTGGAATTCATGAACTAGCCATACACAGGCTTTAGGTAAATTCTTCTTGTGTTTCTTCTTTTTTTTCCCCTTTGTTTTTTTGAGACAGGGTCACACCATGTAGTTGAGAATGATCTGGAACTCACTATGTAGCCCAGGCTGGTCTCAAACTCACAGCAACCCTCCTGCCTCAGCCTCCCGAGTGCTGGGATTATAGGTGTGTGCCACCACGCCCAGCTCCTTTTGGTTTTTGAAGCAGGGTCTCCCTTTGTAGTTCAGGCTGGCCTCATATTTGAAGCGGTCCTCCTTCCTCAGCCTCCTGAGTTCTGGGATTACAGACACACACCAGCACACCTTGCAGATTCTCATTTGTGTTTGAGAATTAGCTTTAAAGGAAGCAGTTCCCAAATGCAAATCTTTTCTAGAGGAACTCACCTTCAAGCCTCAAGAGAATTTACACAAAGTTTCATTGAACACAAGCTGAAAATCAAAACACATGGAAGGAAGACCCCCATGAGAAAATTTAGTTGACAAAAATAGAATCAGACCATGAAAGGCTACACAGTAGGGTTCTCATATGTAAATATGTATAAAGTGTCTCTAAAGAGCAAAATTCCAAGAAGAACTAAGACAATTTGAAGGGGAAAAAAAAAGATGAGACTTTGCCTTGAGATACCAAAACTTCCCACAAAGCTCTACCCAGCAAGACGCATGGCACTACACAGATGACCAGACTATGCTTGGTAGCCAGAATAGACACGTGTGTATTTGCCAACCTGGTGCCCACAACAATGAGCACTGAGGACAAGAAGAGAAAGATGCCTCTTTCAAAGAGCAGCACCTGGCTCCCAGTTTGAAGCTAGGCTCTGAGATGTGTAATATTTTACCATTTCTGACTCCCTACTGATGAGTTTAAAACTAACTTTCAGAAATGGATAGTGATGATGTAGAGAGAATGGGAAAAGGGATGCTACCAGAGACCTCTGGATTGGTCCTGGTCTCCTGTGAGCAAGTATAGTGCCCACAAGATAGGAAAGTGGCAAATAAACACAGAGACAGAGACCTGAAAGAAACTGAGTCTTGGGTTGATCTAAGCTGGCCTGGGCAGCAAAAACAAAGGACCCCGAGGACATCCAGTGTTTATTCATTACAAGTGTGGGAAGGGGGGAAAGTGGGCAGGCCTTGGAACACCTGCTGATAACAAGTGTCAATGCAGAATGAGGGCACAGAGTATCTGTGCTGCAGAGAACAAAGGGTTAATTCAGAGGGAAGAATTTAGTTGGAGTCAGCTGACCTTGACTGGGACTGAACTCAGCCAAGCTCTGCTATTTCCACTGTAACACAGCTGAATTATGGAGGGGCAAGAAGCCTGTGCCACTATAGCCTGCAAACACTGGCCAGTGATGTATACTATAATGATGGCTGCTCGACAGAGAGGATTGTACTTAATGCCCACTGGGCTGTCAACAAAAATGGCTAGGATGGTAAATCTCATGATATGCACATTTTACCACAATAGAAGAAATTAAATAAATTTTTAAAAGGCAGTCTTTAGCAAAACTGGGAATTCACCTGCATAAAAACAAAATTGGGGGGCCAGGGATTTAGCTCAGTGGTGCCACTGCCTGCCTCATAAGTACAAGGTCCCGAGTTCAATCCCCGGTACCAAAAAAAAAAAAAAAAAAAAAAAAAAAAAAAAAAAAAAAAGAACAAAACTGGAACTGGGCTCAAACTTCATCACGTGCAGGGAGAAAATAAATATACTTAAAATATCAAGACTCTTAGAAGAAAATGCAAAAGAATGTATGGCCTCAGAGTAAGGGAGATATAAAAAGTACAAAACCATTAAAAATATGAATAAATACCTCTCTTTACTCTAAGACACTGTAGGCTAACTGGCAGTTTAATGTTGGCTCACATTTAATATCCAGAAATGTAGAGAACTTCTCAAAATAAAGAAGACAAAAACAGCTGCCCCCACTCCTCAATAATGGGCAAACAGGACATTCCACAGAAGTGAAAATGACCAATGGACACATGGAGAGTATCCAAGAAAAAAAGAGCAAGCAGTTTACATTCCCAACCAGGAACTATTAGTGTGAGACAGCACCAGTGTGAGAGACACACAGTACTAGACACTGCCAGTGAGGGGGAAAGGGGCACCATCACCCTGCAGAACAGCCTGGCCTCACCTGACAGAGCTGAGGATGGGCACAGCCTACCTGCCAGCTGCTCCCCCCGGATGTCCACCCCTAGAGACCCCTGTGTGTGCACAGGAGGCCAACATGACAGGGTGAGTCTCATAGCAGAGGGCTAGCATAAGCGTATATACCATGCGCTTCTGCTTACAAGACTAATCTGCAGGAGGAAAGTCAGAACTGGAGAGTCCCAGGGGCTGGGTGACTGGGAGGGGACATGAGGAGCATGTCCAGGGCGACAAAATGCCTTATATCTCTATTAAAAAGTGGGCTACATGACTGTATGCATTTGTCAAAAAAAAGCTGTACACTTCATATGTGTGCACACTAGTGTGTGTAAATTTCACCTCAGAAACAGACTCTGGGTGTTATGTGAGCCATTTAATCCTTCTAAAGGGAATAAACTTGTTTCATGTACTTAACCAATAGCAATTTGCAAATAATTCACTTCAAGTTCAAAATTACTTTATATATTTAAGTGGAAACATATTACAGCAAGTTTAACCCAAAATATGGTAAGTATCTGAAAATAAGGTTACCCGCTACTTCTTTATTCACTCTGAACTAAGTGAAAATAATGAGACACACTTGGAAAAATAAAAGTAAAAGGTTAAACAATAGGTCAGCTGTATGATTTTACAGAAAAGGCTAGAAGTTCAGAAAGTATCACCTCTTGCTTTTCTGCCATAAATGAATAAATAAAATATGATTGACCCAAGTAGCATATAAGTAAGAACTCACTTGGTCTTAGTACCATCTCTCAGCTCCTCTTTGAAAGCAGGTCAACAGAACCACCAAACTGCCAATATGAACACAAACTTCTGATTTTCAATCCAGATCATCCATTTCCAGACTAGGCTGCACACAGGTGCATGTCCAAGTATGCATGCATGTGTGTGCACGTGTGTAAAAAGGCCACCAAAAATAATCTATGCTGTTTGAACTTCCTACACTATACACAAAAGCCCAGACACAAGGACATTTCCTACCTGTCTCTTCCTGGATTGCTGTAGGCCTCCTCAATAAGCTCCATTTTGTCCAAATCCTTCCATTTGCTTCCATCCAGGAACTGCCATCGATAAGGCAAATGGAAATGAACTCTGTGGCATTTATCTAAAACAGAATATAAAGTAGTAAGACAGCTGGCAGACACAGCTGGCATAGCCTGCAGTGGTCAGTGAGCGTGGTGCAGCCACTGACCTCAGGATAATCTGAGGTTATAAGAAGTCTGTTTTCTTAGTGCAGTCACACCTGAGCATTTAGATCCTGCTATACTGGGTATCTGATTACATACACCTTGCTTTCTTTTTTTTGGTACCAGGATTGAACTCGGGTCCTTGCACTTGCCAGGCAGGCGGCAGAACCACTGAGCTAAATACCCAGCATATACACCTTGCTTTTTATCTCCCTTATTCATAGGACCTTGTGCTGATTTTTAACAATATGTATGTGTATGTGTTATACCATCTATGAATGTCATTTGACTGTAAAGAAACTCACAGAAGGTCAATGGTCTCCACCCCGGCAGAGGGCAGTCAATGTCATGGGGATGGGCCCAGTCACACTACAGGTGGTACCCAATTTGTCACTGCCAAAAACCCAAGCCAAGCTAGCCATGGAACCCAAGGGATCTCAGTAACTGCTCAGATCTCTGGTGGCCAACAGACTCGCCCTTCCTCCACCCCCACAGGTCTTCACGTACACTGCCCTGTCCATCCTCATCCGCAGCCTCCCCTCCACCTTCCCAGGATCCTCCCCAGAAGCCACATCCTATCAGCCCTGTAACTTCTTACTTATGAAGCCACCTCACCTTTGCACCTGTGGGCCCTGACACCTGAACACAGACCACAGACCTCTGTCTTACAATGGCTTCCATGAGCTCTGCTACATCCTTACCCAGGACAGCTGAGAGGATGGGAAAGGAGAGAGGAGAGCCAGAAAGTGCACTGCATCACACACGGAGCCACCACTGAGACACAATGCGAGGCAGAAGGCACCTGCCCAGCAAGGTGCAGGAAAGCTTCTTGGGAGAAAGAGAAGAAAGATTAGAGCTACTCTGAATACATACATACACACACACACACACACACACACACACAGAGCTGCTATTTCCTATGGAGAAGAATTGGTCAGTGGGGGACAACATTATGAGGAAAAACTTCTGCATGTTTTGAATTCTGGACCACAAGAAAATATTTCATATTCCAGTCGGGTGTGGTAGTCCATGACTGTAATTCTAGGATTCAAGAGGCTGACACAGAGGGATTGTATGAGTTCGAGGCCAGCCTGGACTACATAGCAAAGCCCTGTCTGGAAAAACAAACAGAAAGAATATATTACATAGTCCAAAAAATTAAACATCTAGTCACTTAAGTGAAAAAGGTGTGAGTATGCTAGTACACCTGTGGTAGAACTAATGTGAACAGACATACATGGTGGCACAGAATACACAAATACACATACATGCACATGCATGTTTAACACAGTTCTACACAAAATACCCAGGGACTAAGTAATAATCACTGATGTTGTTGGAGGGGGTCTGGGTGCTAGGGAAAAGAAGTGTGAGGAAGACTTGTTTCTTAACTGTCCTTTGCACATTTTCAATCCATGTTCCAAAATAATATTAATGAAGTTTGGATAATTTGATACTGTCAATATCAGTAATTTTCTAAAATCACGTTCACTCTTTTTTTTTAAGGTACTGGAGATTGAACCAAGGGTACTCTACCACTGAGCAACATCCGTAGGGGCAGGGTCTATAGACAACAGAATAGGGAACCCCTTAGGTCTTCTAGCTAAGCCTGACCAGAAAGAGTTAAAAACAAACTTTACTAGAGATTCCCCTGAGAAATAAGTCAAGGACAAGGGGTAGAGAAAGAAAAAAAAAACACAGATAAAGAAAGGCACCAAATGGCCTTGGGGCTTGCACCCAGAGACCAGAGAAAGAGCTAACAGGCAGAACAGAGAAAAAGCCAGGTGTACAAATGATAAGCTTTCCCCACCTCCAAGCGAATATAGGGGAAGCAAAGTGGGGGGCTGACTTGAGGGCAGTGGGTACTCATACCTTGCTGTAACACACACATATATACACGTGTAGTCACTGGAGAGTCATTCTGTTATTCACTCTAGGGTCATCATAGGGTACAACAGATATCCACACGCCCACTTACTAACTCTAAGTTAACCAAGAATCAGGCACCCCCTGATGCCAGCTAGCCACCCACCCCAAAGATAAGGCCTTAAAGTAGGTCAAGAACAAGTAAACAGACAGAAAGGAGCTGCACGTAGACCACTGGAAGAAATGATAGGCAGAGATGTCCAGAGCCAATCCAGTTAAGGCAAGTTCTAACCCTCCCATAAAAGCAACCAGAAACAATGACCCAAGGATCCTCTATTTTTCTGGAACCCCCTACACTGATTATTTTCTTATCAGTGTAGCTATCTGTCTTCCCCTTTCCTCCCCCTTTTCCTCTTTACAAATCAAGTGTCTGTATTTCATTGAATTTTGTCCAATTTTTTACTGGGACTGAGTTCACAATCCCAGTTGGCTGCTCGGACACCAAAGCAGTAGTGCTCATCGCTCAGATGCAACAACTTTGGTTTCCTGACCAGGATCAGATGTAACACATCCCCAGCCCTTTTTTATTTTTTATTTTGAGACAAGTGTCTCATTAAATTGTGCAGGTGGGGGCTCAAATTTGCACTCCTCCTGCCTCAGCCTCCCTCAGTGCTGGGATTACAGGTGTCAGCACCACACCCAGCTTATATGCATTCTTCTAGGTATACCTCATTTTGGCTCTTTCCCAGACTCTGTAAAAGGGGACCACAGCAGGAAAGGGGAAGAAAAATGAGGATATTGCTAAAGTTTGTCAAAGACCAGGCCTAGAGCTGGGAAGATGGGGCAGAAAAGAGCAGTAGGCCAAGAGGGCTAAGAGACCAAGCTTGGGCTACCCAGCAAGGAAATCTCTTAAGTTCAGCAAGCCAGGACACAGCTACACTGGAGACTTCCGATCTGCATGCACAGCAAAGGCCAGGGGCCCTCTCTAGAACTTTAGACAAGGAGTATGTACAGAGGCTAATGAAGAGCCAGGACAGGTTAAGCCACAGCTGTGGTCCAGAGGTCATGACCAAGGAAGAGCTCGTGTTCCCTCCCTGAAGTTCACTAAGATATTATCTGGGGTAAGAGCAGAGAGGCCTCCCCAGAGCATCACAGCCCTGAGATGCTACATCTACAAACCCTGGCACAGGTGAATCCTGGGGGACCTGCAGAAAAACTCTGCCAGAAAGCATCCCTTAGGTTAGGGGCATCCACCCAGCAGAATGGCACTTCCCTGGGAAGGCCCAGGGAAGCAGCGGGCCCAGAACTGAGCGTGAAGGCCATGCCACTCACAACAGGAAGGTGCTAGGGGTGTACAAAGCCCCTTTCCTCTGTCCTCTTCTTCCCTGATCCTCTGTCCCCTTTCTCTCCTTCCTTCTGCTGCTTTATGTTCCCCACCTTACTGGGGAACTCCAGAGTCTAAACCTTGTAAAAGATGAGTCACAGACATCAAACCTGTTTGACAGGCAAAGCACCCAAAGCCACCCGCCCTCCTTCCCTACCTTGTTTGAAATGACAAGCCAGAAAAAAAAAAAAAAAAAAACAAGCCGAAAAGTACTGGAAAACAGCAAAAACTGCCATCAAAAGTTCAGAATTACTTCAGAATTCCTAAATGATAGAGCAGACAGAATCAAATTGAAGGGCCGGGATTTAGCTCAGTGGTTCAGCCACCTGCTTTGCAAGTGCAAGCTCCCAAGTTCAGTCCCCAGTACCAAAAAAATCAAAAACAAAAAACAATCAAATTGATAAAAACACATGCAAAATGCCACATTCGGAGGAAGGAGAGGGGCTTCACAGGCTTAGGGTCAGGTGACACAAACCTGTCACAGTAAGAACAGGATTCCCTGCCTGAGCAGTACAGTGTAGAGATGTTGTTTACTTCTTGGGGATTCACTCTTTGTTTCCCAGCTGAATATGCAAGTGTGGAGACAAAGACTACTCAGAAACAAAAGCAAATGACACAGCCACCAACCTCCACCCCAGTCGCTGGTTATGTACCAGCAGCTGCCCCACCGAGCATGACACATCACCTCTGCCCTATCATCACTGGGACAGGGGCCTGGCACCAAAAGCTGGTTGGAATCAACTAGCAGACAGACATACAAGGATTCTCAAGTACAATGCAACAGAGACAGACAGTGGAGAATCACCCAACACAACAAGGATAATACAAGGGGGGAGCCAGCTCACACAGCAGCAGCACCACCAAGGACAGCAGGGTCAGAGCCAGCAGACAAGCGTTAGGGTGCACCTAACTTTTTTTTTTTTTTTTTTTTTTTTTTTTGAGACTGGGCAAGCACAAGGCCCTGGGTTCAATTCCTGGTACCAAAAAAAGTTAAAAAAGACTTGAACAGACATTTTATAGGAGATAAAGAAATGTCCAATAAGCTTATGAAAATAAATGTTTTAAACATCATTAATCTTCAAAGAAAGGCAAATTACAGCTACAATACTAGAATGGCTAAAATTTAAAGGACTGTCAGTCCAAGTGCTGACAAGGATGAAGAGCAACTGGAACACTCATACATTGCTGGAGGGAATGTAGAATAGTGTACAGATTTTAAATGACAGATTGATAGTTTCTCATAAAGTTAAGCATACATCATGTGATCTAGAAATTGCACTTCCTAGGTCTTTACCCAACAGAACTGAAAATACATCTACATGAGAACTTGCACATGGATATTACAGAAGTTTTACAAAAGCCCAGAACTGGATACAATCCAAATGCTCATCAATGGATGAACAGATAAACTGCAACCAATTCATGGAATAGATCACTACTCAGCAATAGAAATGAATCAACTATAAATATGCCAGGATGACTGAATCCCAAGAGCATGCTGAAAGCCAGGCACAATGGCATACACCTACAATCCTGGCACTCTGGGAGGCTGAGGTGGAAAGATTCCAAATTCAAGCCCAGCCTAGACAACACAGCAAAACCCTGTCTCAAAATAAAAATAAAAAATAAAATAGAGGTGGGGATGTAGCTCAGTGCAGATATGACCTCATCAATAAGTTAATCTACCAATGATTATAACGCCCTATGAAACAAACACCTTCCAAAAGCTCCCACCCTCTGAATAGGAGTCTTTGGGTAATATTTTAGCCTAAAACCGTAACAAAGGCCAGGCGTGGTTGTGTATATGCCTATAGTCTCAGAACTTGGAAGGCTGAGGCAGGAAGATTTCTGAAAGTTCAAGGCCAACCTGAATGACACAGGGAGACTGTCTCAAAAAAAAAAAAGAAAAAGAAAAAAGATAACACATACTATATGATTTCATTTACACGTAATTCTAGAAAAGACAACCTATAGTGATAAAAAGATCAAGAATTTCCAGAGCCAGTGAATTAAGTGTGAATTATAAAGACATAGTTTACAGTGAGGGACTATTTATCTTGATTCACTGTACCTGGACATATACACTTATCAAAATTCTCTACTATGCATTTTAGATGGGTGCATTTTATTGTGTAAATTATATCTCAATAATGTTGATTTTAAAATAGAAATACACATGTTTCGCTGGCACACATTCTTTGACCTAGCATTCCATTTCCAGACATCTATGGAAAGTGTCACACAGGGTACTTGCATGCTCAATGAGACCATCACTGAGCGAAAACCAGACAGCTGTTTTAAAGTGAAGTGAATTTACAAGTGGGAAATATCTCCACAACACAATGTTAAGTAAAAAGTGCAAACTGATATGTTATCACATTTGTTAAATATCGGTAGAACAAGTATTACAACCACACAGTACATGTTTACCTTTGGGGAAGGCCTGAGGAGGATGTCCTGCCTTATTTTGTATTATTTGACTCTTTCAAAAAATGTAAACAGTCATGCATGAACTGCTTGGGCAACTTTTAAAGACTGAAAATGAAACAAGAAGTTGTGGTGGTTGTTTCATAAAAGTCACCAAAGTTGAGAAAGAATCTTCAAAGGCCAAGTTAACGAATAAGAAAAACCAAAGATTTAGTGAAAATACAGATGCACAGAGTTGCCACCTCTGGTAAAGAGGAACTGTAAGCATCACTGGGTCAATATAGAAGGAACCCCCAGCTTCGCCAATCCTGGAAGGGCTAGCCTGAGTGTCTCCTCCCCACGGGGTCACTCCCAGTTTCTAGGCTCCCCTAGGGCTACTGTCACTCTTTAGAAGTGATACTTAGGGTGGGTCCAACTAGACTGAGTATCCCAGTCTCACACAGGTCTGTGACTCTATACCAAGATGATCAAGGGGCAACATGACAATCATTTGTACAAATCCAAATAAAAGTGTTCCCCCAAATTCATCTACAGTTTCATTTTTAGAAATTCAGAGAATTCTGCCATCCTCAATTTCCCAATAAAACAGCCTCAGAACTGCTTTGGTCAAAGTGCCAGCATTCCCCCAGGGTTGCCTTGCAGCAGAGTTCTAGGAATGAAAAACAGATGCCTCTCCTAGGAAGGGGGAGACAGGCCCTTCCCCACTTACCTTGAAAGCTGCAACTTTTCCGGATATGGTACAAGCAGATCTGGTCAATCTCCTCCTGGCTGGGAGTGTTTGGGGACACAGAGCCCAAACTGTCTCTTCTTTCTACAAAGAAACACCACAAAAACAGAAGCTTCTGATATGGGGTTGCAGTAGCTCAAAGTGTAAGGAGAATTCATTCATTGAGTTGCATAAAAGTGGCCAGGCAAGCTGACAGAACCATTCCGTGAAGGATGAAAGCACCCTAGACACAGGCAGGCACTCTCTTCTAGAGAGAGGCCTGAAAGCCATGGTCACACAACTGCCTACTAAACCCAGGATGCCATGAAGGGGGTCTTTTCTCAACTCTGGCTATTTACCCAAGTCAACAGGAAAAAGCAAATGGAAGGCTATTCTCTATAAATCAGATCTGAGTCTGTATAACAAACACAGTATCTATTAATGAACTCTTAGAATGGGTAGGAAAAGCCAAGAAAGCCATGGGAAGCTTACATCTCCAAGTGAAACCTCCTTAATTAACTTAAAGTTGCCTCTAAGGTCTTAAAAAGGACATGTAAGTGCCTTCAAAGTTTACCTTTCCTGTATCACTCTAATGAATTTTTACCTACTGCATTTACTGCCACCCATGGACCCCTAAATAAGCATACAAGACTCAGCCCCAACCTCTCCCTATTTACAGTACCATAAGTCACTGTTTTATCCATCTTTCATTTTCCTTTGATAAGCTCCTCAGATGTTCCGCAGGTATGGCTTCAAAGCCCAAAACCAACGTGAGAGACCCTGAATGTGTCACCTCCCTCTCCCCAAGATAATACTGCTCCTGGGACCTAACCCCGCTCAGCAGTGGGTTCTCCTCTTCCTTCCTAACAAGATCCTGATCCAACTGACACTTTTAAACATCTACTTAAGGAAAAATCTGTCTACTTCTGGGCTTCAAGTAGTTGAAAAAGACTAAGAAAAAATTAACTAAAGAAAATGTACAAAAATAATGCCGGGCATGGTGGCGCAGGCCTGTAATCCCAGCACTCGGGAGGCTGAGGCAGGAGGATCACTTTGAGTTTGAGACCAGCCTGGGCTACACAGTGAGTTCCAGGTCAGTGTCAACTACATAGTGAAACCCTGTCTCAAAAAACCAAAAAAACCAAAAAATAAAATAAAAAAAGAAAATGTACAAAAATAAATAAATTAAACAAAAATCAGTTAAGATTAGAATGACAAGTAATCCTAGCCATTTCAGAAAGTGGACTATTAACATTGTAGCTATCTATACAACTAACCAGTGGGCCTAATTCTAAAAGAAGAAGGGACAGACGTGTCTCATACTCTAACACACCCATTCAACAAATATCTAGTGGTTACCATGGGGTAGGCACTGTCAAGGAACTAAAGAGCAGAAAACCAGGAAAATAAATTTACAGTGAGAAAAATAATACCACTTATTCACCTCAGAAAGATGGCCAAGTCAAGATATGCCTCTCTCACTTGTTTTGTAAAATCAAAACAGACTACAATGCAAAGAAGGCCTGAGGGCTGACTCTGGGATTCCTTGATGAAAGGCAAGCTCCCTGGGAGGTGAAGCAGGGAACAACTACACAGGTAGGGAGGTGAGGCCCCCACTTCAGGACAGATGAGGGTCCTCTAGAATCCAGTCCCCATCAACACAAACACAAACTCACCCAGCCCGGACCATCTTATTTAATCGCGTCTGTAAGTTAAACTTATAGTCACCCTTCCCCCAGCTAGGAAAGAATTATCAACTCTATTTTACTAAAGGAAGCTCAAACTCACTCCAAATCTCATTCCATTTAATGGCCACACAGAATAATCTACTCACAACCACAACCACCACCAGCACCACCCTAGTCTGCCTGCAGCACTTCCCACCGGCCTTACCAGAGATCCCCTGAGGGTCTGCAGGAGAAGGGGGCACTTTGGTGGGGGTAGAGCTCTTATTCTTGATGTCGTGTGCATTTCTATAGATGGAAGGCAGCCTGCTTATCAGCTCTGAGCTCATGCCCAACTTCCCCAACTTCTCCAGATTCTCAGAGTTGGAGAAATCATGGCATCTCTTACAGCCGGTACCAAACTTACACTCCCCCTGTAAGTAGTACTGGCAGATGTGGAGTTTGATGCACTGCTTCTGAAAGGAACAACCACCAAACGGCCCATCTCCTTTGTTGTAATGTAAGCAGACCTGTTGACAGAAAAGTGAAAAGACATTACCCTGGGAAGGCTCCTACAACACACCTCCCACCAAGCATGTCACTGATGAGAAGAGGCCTCACAGCCAATGTATGACTCCATCATCCACATGGGCAGAAAGGAAGCCACCCCTCACTCAAGATGACAGCTTCTCCACAGACCAACTGAGCCCCACAATCCCCAACACCATGGTTCCAATCACTGTCATGCAAGGTGGGCCCTGCAGTGCATCTCATCTCCTCCCCTTAGCTCTTGCTGCAGTAGCTGCTGACCAAACAGCCTCCCCCAATCTCATGGGAGCCCTTCAAGGAAGGTACCAGCCCAACTGATGGCGACAGGAGAGGTGCAGAATTGGCTCAAGATCACAGGCCTAGAAATCAGCAGTCAGAGATTCACTCCAAGAGTCCCTTTTATAATTCTTAGTCAAGCTGGGGTCCCTGGCTTCCCTTCAGCCATATTTCCCCATCTTCCAATCTTGCAGCCAGTTCCCTATTATACGCAGAGAAACACCACCCTTCGCCACACTTACTTCTGGCAAAAGCATGGGGTCATTCTGAAACAAGAGCTGGCACAGCTCACTATAGGTGAGGTGGTCAACACCATGAGTTCTCAGCACACTCAGGTTGTGATCAGTCGTCAAGCTGTGACTGTTCCTACAATTCTTCCTGAAAGAAGCAGAGATGATGTTATATATCAGGGAATCCAATCTCCTGCTCCGTGCTATGATGCAAGGTTAAAAGAAAAAGTAAAGACAGAATTAAAGAGACAGAGAAAGGGGGAGCCAGGATGACCAATGCTCATGCAAGCAAGGCTGAACAAACAAAGGCCCTGAACACCCACAGCTGTCAATATTTACTGGTGACATCATAGATTGAGCTAAGAGGGCTATGTGAGAGGATGTGTAACTGCTATGGACACATGACACAGGCAAGGCCTGTAAAGCAAGAGACAAAGCATTTCTGAGTTAGAAACAGAACAAAAAAAATACAGGTTGTGATTAATAACTAACCTAGTCTTTTTTTTGGCGGGGGGGTTTGAGACAGGGTCTCACTATGTAGTTGAGACTGACCTGGAACTCACTATGTAGCCCAGGCTGGTCTCAAACTCATAGCGATCTTCCTGCCTCAGCTTTCCCAGTGCTGGGATTACAGGTGTGAGCCACCACACCCGACCATAATCTGGTCTTTTTAGTAAAAGTTTTAACTCTGGGAACAAAATTTGGGTAAGTTTCACTCTGACTTCCATATGTAGGCTTCCGCTGGACTTGCTTCTCAATACAAACCAACTGTGGGGTTAACTCTTTACAGCCCACACTGCTCACCACCTGCTTTGGGCATAATCAATTTTGGGGCCCCCCCACAGTTCTACAGTCCAAAGTGGTCTCCCAAAATTCCTACATCAGAGTCTTAACTCCCTTAACCTCAGGATGAGGCTGCATTTGGAGATAGGGCTTGAAAGAGGAAATTAAGGTAGAATGAGGTCATCAGGGTCAGCCCTAATTCAATATGACTGGTGTCCTTAGAAAAAGAAGAGATCAGGAGACAGACATAGAGGAAAGATCATATGAGGACACAGGAAGGAGGTGACTTCTGCAAGCCAAGGAGAACAGGCTCAGAAAAAAGCAACCTGCCAACACCTCAGAATTCCAGCCTCTGGAACTGTGAGAAAATAAATGACTGATATTTAAGTCCCCTGATCAGTGACACTTTGTCACGGCAGCCCTAGCAACCTTGCACAGCTGGTGAGATCATTCTTGGTGACAGTCTTTTAGGGATACTTCCTGACAGTGTTCACAAGTATGAGGAAGCCAGCATGTCTATGCAACAAAAGCATGATGCTTACTTACCAAAGACACAGAACCATGTAATGTCTAGAGCCCAGGATAACACTTCTCTAGGGACATCTGGACACACCTACTCTCCCCTATGTCAGTCACTGAAAGGAATGGTCAAGGAAGTCCCTCTGTGAACTGGGGAAAAGAGAAGCGAAGAATGAGAAAGAAAAACTCCATCACCTAGACCAGTAAACATCAGATGAACAGATTCCCAAAACAGGTCAAACCTCCCCCAAACTTTGGGAAAGCAAAAGAATGGGGCCATCATCTTCATTCTACCAAACAGGTTCATTAAAGAACTCATGGGGCGGGGGGTGATTTAGCTCAGTGGTGCTGCCCTGCCTGGTACCAAGTTCAATCCCTGGTACCAAAAAAAAAAAAAAAAAA